TCATTGGATGGAATAGTGTCCCATCATTGGTATTAATGGGAGGAATAGTGCCCCATTATTGGTGTCAGTGGGAGGAATAGTGTCCCATCATTGGCATCATTAGATGGAATAGTGTCCCATCATTGGTATAAATGGGAGGAATAGTGCCCCATTATTGGTGTCAGTGGGAGGAATAGTGTCCCATCATTGGCATCATTGGATGCAATAGTGTCCCATCATTGGTATTAGTGGGAGGAATTGTGCGCCATTGTTGGCATCATTGGATGGAATAGTGCCCCATCATTGGTATTAGTGGGAGGAATAGTGTCCCATCGTTGGCATCATTAGATGGAATAGTGTCCCATCATTGGTATAAGTGGGAGGAATAGTGCCCCATTATTGGTGTCAGTGGGAGTAATAGTGCCCCATCATTGGCATTATTGGATGGAATAGTGTCCCGTCATTGGTATTAGTGGGAGGAATAGTGTCCCCTCCTAACTTTCATCTATTGAACTATATCATTGCTGTATTGTCTCCCTTTATATTGAAAGCTCTGAGAGAACTGTTGGTGGTATATAATTCCTGTTTTATAATAATAATAATCTTTGGTATCAGTGGGAGGAATAGTGCACCATCGTTGGTGTCGGTGGGAGGAATAGTGTCCTATCATTGGTATTAGTGGGAGGAATAGTGCCCCTATCATTGGTGTCAGTGGGAGGAATAGTGTCCCATCGTTGGCATCATTGGATGGAATAGTGTCCCATTGTGTCAGGACCTGGTATTACATGGGAGGAAAGGTTGCAGTTCCAGTGCCACCATGGGTGTCTTCCAGTGGGCCAGCAAATCCCAGTAATTCCCCCCTAACTTATCTGGCTGCTGTTGGAAGGTATATGACACCTCCCTTGATTTGCATCTTTTCGTCAGTGTTTTACCCGTCAGCCACATACCATGCTTGCTGATTATCCTGATCCTTGCCCTATCCTGTAAGTGCTTCCACTTTGCTTGCATATATTGTAGTAAAGTTAATGTGCTAGTCAGGTTTTCTGTCACTTTGTTCACAAATATTTAGTTTTCCTTGTTATGGTTTGCTGTTAGATGGGGTTTTCTTACACTATTAATAAATCTTACTTTGGTATCCAGTGTCAAAGGAAAGAATAGTGCCTCAATGTTGGTGTCATTGGAAGGAAATAGTGCCTCGTTGTTTGTGTCAGCAGAAGTAATAGTGCCTTATCGTTGTGTCAACAGAAGGAATACATGGAGCTGAAGGTTCAGTTCCAGTGACCAGTGGGTGTCTTCATCAGCTGCAAATCCCAGTAATAGGCCTCATCGTTATGGTGTCAGTGGAAGGAATATGCCTCATCCTTGGTGTCAGTGGAAAGAATAGTCAGCCACATCATGCTGTGATTAGTCCTGAATAGTGCCTCATCCTGTAAGTGGAAAGAATGCTGCTCATCGCTGGTGTCAGTGGTAAAGTTAATGTGATAGTGTTTTCTGTCATCGTTCACAAATATTTCCACGTTTTCCTTGTTATGTCAGTTTTCTTACACTTTAATTCCCCCCCATACACAGTGTGATTAAATCTTGCCTCATCGACACATGTCAGTGGAAGGAATAGTGCCTCGTTGTTTGGTGTCAACAGAAGAATAGTGCCTTATTGTTGGTGTCAACAGAAGGAATAGCGCCTCATTGTTGGTGTCAGTGGAAGGAATAGCGCCTCATCGTTGGTGTCAGTGGAAGGAATAGCGCCTCATCGTTGGTGTCAGTGGAAGGAATAGCGCCTCATCGTTGGTGTCAGTGGAAGGAATAGCGCCTCATCGTTGGTGTCAGTGGAAGGAATAGCGCCTCATCGTTGGTGTCAGTGGAAGGAATAGCGCCTCATCGTTGGTGTCAGTGGAAGGAATAGCGCCTCATCGTTGGTGTCAGTGGAAGGAATAGCGCCTCATCGTTGGTGTCAGTGGAAGGAATAGCGCCTCATCGTTGGTGTCAGTGGAAGGAATAGCGCCTCATCGTTGGTGTCAGTGGAAGGAATAGCGCCTCATCGTTGGTGTCAGTGGAAGGAATAGCGCCTCATCGTTGGTGTCAGTGGAAGGAATAGCGCCTCATCGTTGGTGTCAGTGGAAGGAATAGCGCTCATCGTTGGTGTCAGTGGAAGGAATAGCGCCTCATCGTTGGTGTCAGTGGAAGGAATAGCGCCTCATCGTTGGTGTCAGTGGAAGGAATAGCGCCTCATCATTGGTGTCAGTGAAAGGAATAGTGCCTCATCATTGATGTCAGTGAGGAATAGTGCCTCGTATCAGTGGGAAGAATATTGCCCCAAGGGCTGGACAAAGGCAACCATCCAGCCCGCGGACCACAGTTTAAAGACCACTCTGCAAATGGATCCTCAACAGGAGTATATGGAGAAGGCACTGCAGACTAGGGAACCAGGGAGTTCACCTACATCTGGGCACTAGCTGTCATATCAGAACTGAGGGCAGCAGCTGTTTTTGCTATGGTCATGAATGGCAAGAAAGACCTGGCAAGGCAACAAACCTTTATCCTTCTGATCTAATACAGATATATGGTGTGATGATATAAAACCTAATGAAACAGCAGATAAGCAGCATCTATTTGGAAGCAAGTGGGTGTATGACCTTTTAGAAAAGACAGTCACATAAATATATTCTCAATATGTATAGATTGTGCATGCGTGTATAGACACACACACACACACACACACACACACACACACACACACTGTATATTCATAGCGTGTGTACATACATGTGTTCTTGTGATACTGCTGCCGAGGCATCCTTGCCGTATCATACATATAGGACAAACAACTCGTTACTCATACATCTATCCTTGGTTGGTTTGTGGTAATTTTCCACTGACATGTAGATTATATATTCTCTGTGATGTCACTGGCTTCAGGGAAGTGAAAAGACGACCTTCTCATTTCTATCATGGGTGTTCAGGACAAAGATAAGCTGTATTCTCAGACAAAATTGTTACTACAGCATGCTCAGCCTCCATATTCTGATATTACCAAGGATACTTCCCTAGAATATTCTGGAAACAAGTAATGTCATCTTCTTCTACAGAACTGGTCACTACCCTCTAAAGAAAAAAAAAAATGCTAGACAGCATAACGGCTCAGTAAGGACTCCGAGGTCACTGTTTCCGGGAGAACTAAAGCTGGCCATACACCACCGAAATGTAAGCGGATTCCTGCCGGCTCAGCTGAAATGTAAGCAATGACCCTGCTGGAAAATTGTCAGTTCAACAATGTATATATCCGATCAGATTTAGGTACTGGTGAAGAACTGTCGGCCAGCAGAGCTAGTGGTCAGAATTCAATAGCCTGGCAGGGGGGATTCAACCAATGGCACTGTTAGCATGGATGAAGGAATCTGTTACTGACAACTAGAGAATTGACTGGCTGCAGTGGTTTCTAGAGAGGCTGCATTCTCAGTGATGTCACTGCCTCCAAGAGAACTTGAAGCAGAGGTCCACCCAAAAGGGGAAGTTGTGCTTTAATGCTTTGTCCCCAGCTCTCCATTAAGGATTGGCACCTTTGGGCAGTGGGGTGGGGGGCAGCGGGTACTGAATTTGACAGGCCACTTCCACTGCAATTGCCTAAGCGATTGGAAGTGGAAGTTGTCCTCCCCCCCCCCTCCCCGTAGTCTTCTGGGTCCCAGAAGACTATGGGGCCATTCACAAAGCACAGCGCTTCTCGCGCATGCGCAGTGGGCACCTGGCTGTGAAGCTGCAAGCTGTCACAGTCGGGTGCCCACACTAAAGATGCCGGCGCCAGGGAGAGAAGATGGCTGGTGAAACCAGCCGTGGTGAGGACACCGCTGGACCAAGGGACAGGTAAGTGACTGTATTTTAAGAGTCAGCAGCTACAGTTTTTGTAGCTGCTGACTTTTTTTTTTTTTTTCAGCTGGAACTCTGCTTTAAAGGTTTGTTGTTATCACTACTTCCTAGGAGAACTTATAGGCTGATTTTTGATACCACTTCCTAGGAGAACATATAGGCTCATTGATGTTACCACTTCCTAAAAAACTTAAAGGCTTTGATGGCACCACTTACTAGAGAACCTATAGGCTTTGATGGCACCACTTACTAGAGAACCTATAGGCTTTGATGGCACCACTTACTAGAGAACCTATAGGCTTTGATGGCACCACCACTTACTAGAGAACCTATAGGTTTTGATGTCACCACTTCCTACAGAACTTAAAGACTTGTTAAGGTCACTGCTTCATAGAAAACTTATAGGCTCATTGATGTCACTGCTTCCTACATAATTCATAGGCTCATTAATGTCACCACGTCAAGCAAACATATTGACTCGCTAATGTCACTACATTCTAGAGAACTCATAGGCTTGTGGAGGTCACCACTTCTTACAGAACATATAGACTTGTGGAGGTCACTGCTTCCTAGAGAACTCATAGGCTCATTGATGTCACTGCTTCCTACAGAGTTCAAAGGGTCATTATGGTCACCTCTTCTTAGAGAACTATTAGGCTTGTGGAGGTCACTGCTCCCTACAGAACCTATAGGTCTGTGAAGGTAACCTCTTCCTTAAGAACTCAGACTCGTTAATGTCACTATTTCCTAAAGAATATATATGTCAAATGATGTTACCTCTTACTAGAGTCTATAGGCCCATTGATGTCACTGCTGCCTAGACCATTCATTTGCTCATTGATGCCACCACTTCCTAGAGAACTTACAGCCTTGTGGAGGTAACCACTTCCTATAGACATTAAAAGCTTGTGGAGGTCACTTCTTCCTAGAGAACTTATAGACCTATTGATGTCACTGCTTCCTAGAGAACTCACAGGCTGTATTGTCTGTGATGTCACTGGTCTCTTAAGAAACATACTGAAGAACCCTTAGTGATATACCTGCAATCTAGAGAACTGACCAGCTATGGTCCCATTAAGGCCAGTAGTTACTAGAGAAATAGTGATCAGGCCAGTACCAAGTAGAATGCTGGCTGAGTCAATGTCATATCCTTGCTCAGCATGTATAGATTACAGATATCAAATTACCTCCAGAGACAACCAACAGACTTTCCTTCTTTTCTTTCTCGAAACGTGTGGCCATCTCTTCTTGCGATGCTTCTTCCTCTTCTCTTTCTTCTTGAAGTTTCTTCATTCTCTCCATCAAAACTTCTATTTCACTTTCATAGTCGGCATTCTGAAAGTCAAAGAGTATAACGGATGTCTATCATTCTTCTAGAGACAATTTTAGTAGATATAAAATCAACACAACTATGGCATTTGTTCACGTTTCAGTGTCTCCTGTCTTATATTCCAGTAAGGCTACGTTCACACTAGCGTTGTGTGCAGGCAGCAGAAAGGCCTTTGGGAAGCATTTTTACTGCTTCCCAAACGCCTCAGACAATTCTGCACATTGCAGCACATGGTGCTGTTCTAACGGGAGCGTTAGTGTCGTGGCAAAACGGACGCCTCTGGTAGAGTCAGGAGGCGTTGAAGCCTCCTATTCTAGTCTATGGTGCCGCTCCGCAAACGCCACGCAGTTGCGGGGCATTTGCGGAGCAGTAACGCCATTCAAACTTCATTATAGGCGTTTGTAGGGTGTTTTTAACGCTCAGCAAACGCCTAGCAACCGCCGCTGAACCGTGCATGCGGAGAGTTTGCCGAGCTTAAAAAACGCTCCGCAAAAGCCGGACCAATGCTTGCCAAACACTATAGGGGCGTTTGGCAAGAGTTGGTAAAATAGTCAAGTGTGAATGAGCCCTAACACTATGGTGGAGCTTCAATGTGTCTGGAACAATAACGTTTTAATTGAACACTGAATTTTTGGTGTTCAGCTGGCTTCTTTTTTTTTTTTTTTTTGTGGAGCATGAATGAGGTTCCTCCGGAATATGCACCCAATTCTACCAGAGATTGAAGAGGCTAAGGAGTGACAACTTATTGCTGTTGTTTTTAACACTTTATAAACACCAGCTATTTACATTAGAGGTTTTCATGCAGTCTGTTGTGAACTTTGAAAATACATTTTTCCACAATACTTGTAGAAAGATAAATGCAGACTTGTTTTAACATGATTTTATTGCTTGTTTGAAATAGGTAAATATTTTGGTGTCCATAATCTGAGCACAGGCATAGGTGAATGTAGTTATTTTTTTTAATATATTTTACATTTATTTAAAGGGAAAATCCACTATCAGGAAATAAATACTATAGCTTAAAAATTGTTACATAAGCCATTATGTAATTTAATTTTATTAAAAATTACATTTCTGTTTTCAATCTAAAGCTGCTGTAATTTTCTAAAACTGTCACAAAATTCAATACAATATGGGAGCCTGGAGGTGTTCTCTTTACACCAACAGTAAATGTAATTTCCCAATTGTGTGATTGGCTCTATGATTTTCTCAGATGTAGGCACTAAGGTACGAGTACAATTTTAGGCAATTGGAATTAAATTTATGGTAAGATACTCCCTAAGGGTTAAACACTAAAGTAATGCAGACATTGTAACCTGGTGATTATAATAAATCAGACCCTCCCAATCAGGAATAGGATAAGCAAGGACATGATGAAACAAACAGCTTTTTCTTCTGACAAAGTTTATTAAAATTAATAAACTGCAATATTCTTTTTTTTTTCCCTCAACAAAAGTGGACTTACACTTTAAAGTGTATTTATAGCCAAGTCAGTCAGTTTAATTTTGCTGCCTTTTTCCAGCTGGGGAAATTTCTCTTAATTTTTCGACCCAGATTCACACAAGAAGTGAGAAGACTGCATAGCTAGGAGAAAGCCCTCACTTTTCACGATTACAAATGATTAATATAGCTTAATGATCTTGATATCCCTAACCTTCTCAATAATATTTAAGCAGCAATGCAGAAAGGAGGCAATCTGCCAACACTGTTCAATGAACCCAATTGGCTAGAGTTCAACTTAAAGTATGACTTAGGCTGCATTCACATTGACCGTTTTGTAGCTTGAAGCTCGAAGCTCCAAAATAACTCAAACTTAAAAAACCAATTGTTCTCTATGGTGCCTGTTTGTGGGATCAGATGTGAATAGGCACCATAGAGAACAATTGATATTTTAAGTTTGGGCTTTTTTGGAGCTTCGAGCTTCAAGCTACAAAATGTTCAATTGTGAATGCAGCCTAAAGGTGAAACTTTGTTTTTTTTTATAGTTTTGGACAGAGTGGAGATGGATTAGAACACCTATTTATATTATTATTATACAGGATTTATATAGCGCCAACAGTTTGCTCAGCGCTTTACAATATAACGGGAGACAATACAGCAACAATACAGTTCAATACAAGAGGGTTAGGAGGGCCTGATCCGGGAGCTTGCAATCTAAGATTAGATTAGATTAGAAATCAGGTTTTTATTGCGCTCTGTGCCCCCCCCCCCTTTCCCCAGAGAAATTCACCCTCTCTTTTTGTCCTGTTTACCGTTCTTTTTGAAAGTGAAAGTAAAGAAAACCACAATTTTCAGGTTGTCCCCAGAAAAGTAATAGATGGGAAATTTTCCAATGGTGACACTAGTTCTGATGATCTGGGGGTGCCCAAGGAATTTCCTTAATTTGCAGGGATTTCCTCTCACTCCCTGTTTTGGCCATGGGACAGGAAGCAAAGGGAAATCTCCCTAATGGGACACAGATTGGAAAAAATAAACTGATAGGGGTTATTACCCTCCCTTACTCTATCCAAAATGAAGAAAAAAAAAAAGTTTTCATTATAGTTCTACTTTTAAGTACACATTGAAAAAAAACAGTACCTCCCGGCAATACCAGCACATTTCCCCAATGTATTATCCTTTTAAAACACTGCAAATATCGGTTGATCCAGCCATAAATCCAGTGAGCTCCTATGCGCTCTGCCTCTACTGTACTGAAATCACAAGAAGCATTATGAGCCCTGCCCAGTTACTCCTCACTGAACTACAGAATACCTCCCCCAATGCTATGGAGAGGAGAAGGGGATAATTGTTCTGTAATTCAATAGAAGAAAACTGAGCACAACTAACAACACTGCTTGGCATTTCTGTGCAGGAAGATGGGAGCACACTGGATTTCTGGCAAATCGCCAGTAATGTTCTGTGCTTTCAGTGCTTTAAAGAGACAAAACATGGGGAAATATACAGTACATGAATTGCAGAGAAGTACTAAATATATTCTTTATTTTTATTTTGCCCAAACATACACTTTTTTGATCATTTACATTTGTACAAATATGTGATAAAAAGCTGCCATTGCATTTTGTTTTTCTTTTTCTTTCACCCACACATGCACTTTAAATACAGTCATGAAGTGCAGGGCTCAGACCTCAAACACTTTTTTCTACTCCGCCTCAAGGAATTTTCCTAAATAGCTTCTCTGTTAGATGTAAAAGTAAATAAAACATCCAGAATATCCCAAGCTAGACAAGCGATCCATCCTGTTATTGTTTCTTGGAAGATAGCAGATATAATGGATTTGGTGATAAGGAAACCAAAACACAGCTCATCCATTCCCCTACTGACCTCAGTGCTGTTACTTGTCAGGCTTGTGTTCTCTATACTGTTATCGTTGGCAAGATCACAAACGCAAAACTTGTTTTTCACCACCAAGTGGAGCCCATTCGGAGGTACGGTGTCTCTCTCGAGGTTGATGCCACTGCCGAATACAAAACTTGCCAATGCGTGGTAGTGAGCCAGCAGTACCACCGCATGCACCAGCTCAGCCAGCGACCAATTGTTCTCTCCTGTCTTCACCAATTTCTGTGAATGATGGAATGAAATTGGAGTAAATACATGTCATATATATCCCAATTTTAGAGTACTGCCAAAAAAGAATTAAAAAGCATCACCTCCCCCCATCTTATATAATGTATCATTCAGGAACTTAACATGTACAGTCTGGAGGAAAGAAGGGAAAGGGGAGACATGATTGACACCTTTAAATATATCAAGGGGATGAATATGGTTCAGGAGGGCAGTATTTTGAACACGAAACCAAAATCAAGAACACGGGGACATGACCTTAAACTAACTGTTTTAGGGATAGGGCAGAGCCATAAAAATTGTTCCTTGCAGATTGCAAAGGCTGCTGGAGTAAGCACATCTACAACCTAAAGCTGATAATCCTACAGGATACCATGCATGCTGAGAATAGGACATGGGAAGCAATTATACTACTAGAAAAGCTACAATTTCTGGGGAAATTGTGTGAAGTGTTCTTGCCTCCACCAGTAGTCTACAACTGGAGTGGGCGGAGTAACTGGGTGGAGTGGGCGGAGTAAATGTTGTGTGGTTGGAGTGGCTGGAGTAACTGTGAAAAGGTTTTGTCAGCTCCCACTCTAGTTTTGAACATTCCGCCATTCATTCCTATGGGACCAATTTCACCACAAAAACGCCGATATTTTGTGAACCATTTGACGAAACGTTCCACAAAGTAATAGCACACCAATCGGGAACAATCCGCACGTTTCGGTATATTACTGTCTATGTAGTGTAAAAAATGTGGGAGGAGTTAGGGTGGTAAATTTGGCTATAATAATAATAATAATATATATGTGAGATAACAGGAAGTGGTCTTGCCATGTGAGAACACTTAATAAACAACCATATTATAATGAGGTAGGACAAAGCCAATGGGCCAATCAGACAGCAGCTGAACTTACTCTTTTTCCATCTGAAACCATTGGTATATAAAGCAGAAAAAAAGGTAGCTGCTACAACAAACATGGGCTACAAAACAATGCTTTAGACATGTTAGGAAAAGGGGCAAAAATAAATAATTTTAGAATAACTAAAAGAGAAAAAAATTGTATAACTAGAAAGTGAACAGTTTTTTTAATAATATATTCTATTCTGTATTTCGAAAACAATGGAATCTGACTGGATGCCACAATTGACCCCTCCTGCTTCTTTGTATATTATAATATAACAAGGCCAAATGATCAACGCATTGGTAGTCACATGAGCTGCTGCAGACAGTTTAACAGTTGGCTTGTGACCACATGAACCACCATCATGTACTTTAGCCTTACAGCCACAGATGGATCAAATCTCGGCCGGTTCAGTAGGGACTGGTCAAGATTCAATCCACCTATGGGCAGGCGGATTGTACCCAAGTTGATCCATCGATTGACTTGAGTACAACCAGCATGTTGGATTTTTAGCATGCAACTATTGCCAGTGGCTGTAGCCGCTAGCAGTAATCACAGCGTTCTCCTTGCAGGGACGGCTCCACACATTCCCCTGCCGGGGAGAACACAATAGCTCCATGGGAGGGATTCCCCCATCAACACTGACTGTGTTGATAGGGAAATCAAGTGATTTTCTTTCCTGCAACTTGTGGGTGCAAAAAACAAAAAAATAAATAAATAAATTGCATAATCTATGGCCTGCCTTACTCATGGAATTAAACTAATTGTACCCTTGCAGTGTGGCCCCCTACACATGCAAGCTAGAACAGCTCATTTGGTGTATAGTAGCAGGAGTTAGGAGTAAGGTGTAATGCTGACCTTATTCCTTGCTCCTGCACGGTCCCTCCAGTGGTGCGTCCTAACAGTCCTCGCAAAGCATCATGTACAGTGGATAGCAAGAGGCTGACAGCAAGTTATATGCAGGTACTTGCACTTTTAATAAGTACTTATGAAACCCAGGACCCTGCATTCACTATATCTGGTCTCTAACACTACACAGAAATGCAACTATTTTAGTAAATGTAAACTGCTAAATACCTTTTCTCATTAGCAGTTAGAGCAGTCTTGTGACTTCTATCAGTGTCCAGCTGAGCACTGGTTAATCTTGTAGGAGTTTTCACTCTACTCTGACTGTCCTATGAGGCTGCATAACCCCTGACCCTCTGTCTGGACAGTGCTGAATGGCCCTGTGCTGATCACATGCACCCTCCCAAAGCAAAAAAAAAAACTCTAGCAATACACACCAAACTGAGCATGTGCAGAGTGACTCCTAGAGATCTGTACTATCAGCAGATGGATTGGGGACTGTGGAAGAAGGGGGGGGGGATCAGAGAAGACAGGATCAAACTGCCTTTTTATACAATGTAGAGGATTAACCCCTTAGTGTCCACAGTGAGTATAACAAGCATGCTTTACTGCATACACAGACTGATTTTACTGTTGTAGGTTTAGTAACACTTTATACAAATTAATTCAGATATCTAATTTGTATTGTATATCTGCCTGCAGCTCAGCTTTAACCAACTTCTGTGTGTTACATGTCACACACTTGTCTCATGCAGACTGTAGCAGATATGAAAGCCTGAGCCCCTGGCAAGTTCACACACCTGTATGTGCTCTTTTGTGATTAGCCAAGGCCTGTGTGCAAGAAGCTTGTTGATTTCGTTAAGGTTTTTCAGCCTTTGTGGCACATACTCTAAGCCGTTCAGCCATTCTGATGATCCTCCTGTGTTCAAGAACTCATCCATATGCATATTTATCAAGTACACACACTGATGTCGTGCTGCAGCCTACGAGGGAAAATACAACCAGGACAGTTAAAGCTTTATAGATTTACATGCAAATATATGATGACGAGTTTGAAATAAAAAGAGACCCTTCACTCAGTATTTCACTTTCAGTATTGAGATATACACCGATCAGCTGTAACTTTATGACCACTCACCACTCCACCTTTTGCTGCCAAAACAGCCCCGACTCATTGAGTCATGGACACCACTAGACCTCTGAAGGTAGGCTATGGTATCTGGCACCAGTAGGAGATCCTATAAGTTGTAAGGTGGGACCTTCATGGCTCTGACTTGTTTTTCCAGCACATCCCACAGTTGTTGTATTCCTCAAACCATTCTTGAACCATTTTTGCATTCTAGAGAGCTGAAAGAGGCAACTGCCATCAGGGAATACTGTTTCCATGAAGGGCTGTACTTGGCCAGCAACAACGTATAGGTAAGTGGAACATGTCAAAGTAACATTCACATGAATGGCAGGACTCAAGGTTTTCTAGTAGAACACTGCCTCTGCCAGCTTGCCTTCTTCCCACACTGCAGGTAAGTGATGCACATGCACCTGGCCAGCTACATGATATAAAGGAAATATGATTCATCAGACTAGGCCATGTTCTTCCATTGGTCCATGGTCCAGTTCTGATGCTCATGTGTCCAGCTTTTGGCTGTGGACACGAGTTCAGTATGGGCACCCTGACCAGTCTGCGGCTATGCAGCCCAATACACAAACTGTAATGTCTATTTTTTTCTGCTTTCAAACACTTTAACTTCAGGAACAACATGTTCACTTGCTGCCTAATATATCCCACCAACATTAAAGTGGTAGTAAAGCACAAAAAGAAAAAAAAAAAAAAAAAAAAAAAAAAAAACAAAAAAAAAAAAAAAAAACACAAAATTTTCTCCCTGCAAGTTAAGACCATAATGTGCTAGTATGCATCACATAAGTACATTATGAAAGACTTACCTTAAAACGAAACCATCCAGCGGCGTGCTGTCACCATTGACAGGGCTTCCATCTCCACCCGGTCTTCTTTCTGGGTTCCCGAGCTCCAGACACTTGAATGGCCGAGCCGTGATGATGTCACACCCGTGCACGCATGCAGGAATCACAGCCGTGGCATGCACTCCATTGGAAGAGCAGTGTGCATACGCGGGTGAAGTCACCGGCTGCTATACAAGTAATTATCTCCTAAATGATGCATGTTTAGGAGATATTTACTGTACCTACAGGTAAGCTTATTATAGGTACAAATCAACAAAGAAGACTTTACTACCACCTTAAGATGCCATTGTAATGAGATAATTAATGTTCATATAGTTATGGCTGACTGGTGTACATCATTCACAATCAAGACAACGAATGTACATTCAAATGATACCACTGTGATCACACCAGACAACGTCCACCAACATCAAGGTACAATGGTCCTTTTAAAACAAGAAGTGTGCTTTTATAAGGCATTAGTTTACAGTGCACACTGCAGACAGGCTACATGACAACAATGCATTACTTCCAATGGCACATGCCTGAAAACTGATCTTAAGGCACAGGAACCTAAATCTGTAAAGTCCCTTGGTGTTCCTAACGTGCTTTAAATCATCAATTAGTTCCATATACTATTAATGCAGTTATTTGGTAACAAATTGTAAAAGTATAGCAAAGAACACAATTCCCAAATGCATCTTGCATAAACCCCTCCAAAGAACTGCCTAGCTGTTATCTGTCATCACTATTTCTACTGCTGCTTCAACCACCGCCTACCAGTTTCAAAGGCAGTGAAACTCTGACTTTAGCTTTCTGTACACGTGCTCTTTCCAGATTGTTTGTTATCATGCAAAGCTTACATAAGAAATGCATAATAAAGCATTCAAGTCAGAGGATTTGTTTTCTTTTTTACAAAACCTGTGATCAGTCTGAGCAACAGAGATTTGTGTTTACAGCGAACCACGGACTGGTTGTATGTCCCCATGCAGGTAGGTTAGGCTGTGGAAGAGTTAGACCTGGTAGGGATAATTGTAAAAAAAAGGGAGAAAAGGAGAAACTGGACAGAAAGGTGAGAGAGGACTAAAGAGATAAGAAAGAAACTGGAATGGTGAGATAGAAACTGGGGTATGAGATTGTGAAAGGACTGGAGAGACAGAAAGAGAGAACTGGAAAGGGGGGGAGAGAGAACTGGAGAAAGATGAGAGAAAAACTGGAGAGAGAGATGGGAGAGAATTGGAGAAGTAAGAACTGGAAACATGAGAATGAAACTGTAAATTGGAGATGAGAGAGGAAATGAAGAGAGCAACTGGAAAGAGGACAGGGAAACTGGAGAGAGGAACCGGCGAGAGGAGAGAAGAACTGGAGATAGAAGAGAGAAGCTGGCGAGAGGAGAGTGAAATTGGAGAGAAGAGAGAAAATGGAAATAGAGGACAGGGAAACTGGAGAAAGAAACTGGTGAGATTAGAGGGAAACTGGCAAGACGAAAGAGGAGAACTGGAGAGAGAAGAGAGGAGCTGGCGAGAGGAGAGGGAAATTGGAGAGAAGAGAGGAACTGGAAATAGAAGACAGGGAAATTGGAAAGGAACTGGTGAGAGTAGCGGGGAAACTGGCGAGACAAGAGAGAGGAGAACAGGCGAGACAAGAGAGAGGAGAAGAGGCGAGACAAGAGAGAGGAGAACAGGCGAGACAAGAGAGAGGAGAACAGGCGAGACAAGAGAGGGGAGAACAGGCGAGACAAGAGAGGGGAGAACTGGCGAGACAAGAGAGGGGGAGAACTGGCGAGACAAGAGAGGGGAGAACTGGCGAGACAAGAGAGGGGAGAACTGGCGAGACAAGAGAGGGGAGAACTGGCGAGACAAGAGAGGGGAGAACTGGCGAGACAAGAGAGGGGAGAACTGGCGAGACAAGAGAGGGGAGAACAGGCGAGACAAGAGAGAGGGGAGAACAGGCGAGACAAGAGAGGGGAGAACTGGCGAGACAAGAGAGGGGAGAACTGGCGAGACAAGAGAGGGGAGAACTGGCGAGCGAGAACTGGCGAGACAGAGAGAGAGGGGAGAACTGGCGAGACAAGAGAGGGGAGAACTGGCGAGACAAGAGAGGGGAGAACTGGCGAGACAAGAGAGGGGAGAACTGGCGAGACAAGAGAGGGGAGAGAACTGGCGAGACAAGAGAGGGGGAGAACTGGCGAGACAAGAGAGGGGAGAACTGGCGAGACAAGAGAGGGGAGAACTGGCGAGACAAAGAGGGAGAGAGGGAGAACTGGCGAGACAAGAGAGGGGAGAACTGGAGCGGAGAGGGGAGAACTGGCGAGACAAGAGAGGGGAGAACTGGCGAGACAAAGAGGGGAGAACTGGCGAGAAGAGAGGGGGCAGAGGAACTGGCGAGAACTGGCGAGAGGAGAGGAACTGGCGAGACAAGAGAAGGCAGAGGAACTGGCGAGAAGGCAGAGGAACTGGCGAGAAGGCAGAGGAACTGGCGAGAAGGCAGAGGAACTGGCGAGAAGGCAGAGGAACTGGCGAGAAGCAAGGGCAGAGGAACTGGCGAGAAGGCAGAAGAGAACTGGCGAGAAGGCAGAGAACTGGCGAGAAGGCAGACGAACTGGCGAGAGAAGAACTGGCAGAAGGCAGACGAACTGGAGAGAAGACAGAGGAGGAACTGGAGAGAAGACAGAGGAACTGGAAAGACAAGAGAGATAGATTGTGAGAAGACTGGATAGACAGAAATAGAGAACTGGAGAGGGAGGAGAGAACTGGAGAGGGAGGAGGGAACTAGAGAGTGGGAAGGAAGGACAGGGGTAGAATAAAAAAGAAGAAAAAAAAAAAGAAAAGTGTGATTGTGTGTATATAAAAACAACCTAAACTCCTAATATCTGCCATGGTAAAATGCAGAGGAACAGGATCAGTGTTCTTTTCTTTAGAGCAGAACTAAGCCCACTGATTTGCCAGTTTTCCAAAACAGTTAAATTCAAGGTGGGTCTCTGGGGATAACTGTCACAGTTACCAGTGTGCTTTTGTCTGCTCTTAACCAAACATTTCGGCCGTCAAATGGCTGGTGTCAAAGCTGATCACATGTGGGGCACCACTGCAACTACAGATCTAAATAGATGTTAAGATGGCATCGTGCTCAGCTGTAATGGATAGGAGAGTTTGATTCTACTTGATCGAATCCTACCATAACTTTTAATTTTAAGTCAGTTAAATACTTTCCAGGTGCATGAAAAAGAGGTGTGCAAAGTTTTATAGTTCATTGTTTTTAGAAAGCAGCCACAGCCTGAGAAGCCTATCCTTTGCCAGCACGCTGTAGAGAATGACCCTAGCTGTGCAGGAGAAGTGGCCTCTCCCCAGAGATTTGACCTGTGTCCTCCTGGTGATTCAAATATAGAGCCTAACAGTAGGTTAGGCTGGCAGATGACACATCCGTGTCTGCTCAGTTTCTGCAGAAAGGACACGGGTGTCCAAGAGTATATGGACTCCGCTGTCCGTTTACACCCGACTACCCTCTGATCTGCTCTGCCTAAATGGAAGAGGATGGATCCCCTTCCATTATTTTAGCAGACCCTTGGACCCAGAGGTAGGCGGGTGTAAACAGACACAAGTCCTTTTATACCCACCTGTCCATAGAGATGATTGGACCTTCTGATCAGGTCTGCCTCAAAAACGGACAGGCGGACCTGAGCGGAACAGCTGTGTGAAAGGGGCCAATAGTTGTAAAATACATATTTAATATAGCAAAAATCAATTTAAAAAAAAAAAGTAAAATAAATTAAAAATACTTGCCATGATAGCAATGTAGTGTCTGTAATGATAAGGCAGGGGTCCATCCATACGTAGCATGTAGAACTGCGTGCGGAGGAATGATTCCAGATATTGTGGGTGGAGGCTCATGACTCGTGTGATGTTATCCAGGCGGCCGGACGTGCTGTACTCTTCCACCAGTCGGTTAATGAGCGTAACCACATCATTGATTTGGCCAAACTGAATGAGAGAGGAGAATACTTGAGACATTTCCTTAAACAAGCAGTCCCCATAACATCCAGATCTACATAGCAGAAAAAGAACAGAGCCACATTCAGCAGATTCCAGATATATGCCTTCCTGACGCCTATGCTGCCAGTGGACAACAATCACAGATGGAAGAAAAACAGATCCTCATCAAACCCTAGTAATTCTACATTTTCTGATACAATAATTGTTTTTTGAAACACAATATAAGCAGATCAAAGAGCACAAAGACTTGGTTCCCATGCAGGGGAGGTGTGCATATACAAACTACAATAGTCAAATTATTGTTTTCACAAATAATGTGACAAACCGACCAACTAAGCCGGACTAGGCCTAAATGGGGGACCTAAAAAGTCCAGACCAAAACTCTGGGGAGCGGTAAAGGTAAGAGGTAAAAGGTGAAAGGCAGAGAAAGCCCTGAGAGAAAAGGAAAACATTGTGGAAGAGGGGAAAGTAATTCTACATTTTCATGTATGCCACTAAAAAGGAAACTCCGTAAGAAAAACTAATATTAACAATTATAGCATCTGAATTTAAAACCTGGAGTGTTGCTTACATGCTAATGAGCTCATCCACTAAAGCACACATTCAGAATACCGGTAATTTCCTGTCTGTATCTATACTCCTGAAAGTACTGTAAATCTAAAGCTAAAACTTTTTTTTTTTTTAGCTTTGGGTAGAGTATTAAAGGGTTAAGACAGTTGTCATGTCAGCCTTTTTTGCTGTTGTCTTTGTCCTATTGATTATTATTATTATACAGGATTTATATAGCGCCAACAGTTTGCTCAGCGCTTTACAAATTACTTCCTGGCCCACAGATACAACAGGAAGTTAGAGTAAAAGTCTTTAAAATGAAGGGAAGTTTCCTTTAAGCCAGTGTCACCAGAACATTGTCCATATTACGAGATTTCCCCTCTGTTCCATTTACAATGACAACTGTAAATTTGTAATTTTTTTTCCTGTCCTCATGATAATGTACACAAGGACAAACAGAGAGGGTGAAAGGCAGAGAATACCTTCAGCCAGACATACATGGATTAAAAATGGATCCCTGTTGAACTGGCTGAATTTTGATCCACGTATGGGCAGCATAGTTGTACAGAAGTCAATCTTACAATCAGCTTCTGTACAACCGCCCTGATGGCTTTTACCTGCTTGATCAGCACAGCAGGGTATAGCCTGCAATGCTGATCAGTGTATTCAGAATACAATTTAGCAGGATTTCCCCCATCCACCTCGAATGTGTGGATGGGGGAATCGGATCAGTTTCTTTTCATTCAACACGCTGGTTGAAGTTACAAACTGACTAATGTATGTGCTGCTTTAGGCAAGAAGGTAGTCTTGGGCCTTAACACTACCCTTGAAGAAAAGGCCACCCAACAGAGGTGACTGCTACAAAAAAAACCCTAGTGGGAGTAGAGAGGGGAATGTCTCAGGGGGTTTAAACTGTGGCTTCTGAAAGGCTGAGAGATCCAGGATTCAGATCCCACAAAGTCATAGGGTAATGGATGAGTGAAACCACATGGAGAACCTACTGCACAATTCTCCTAATCAAAGAAGGAGGCCAATGGTCTTGGAAACAAGGGTTAATATGAAGTAAGAGATGCACCTATATTGTGTGCTATGGCGGGCGCAATGGAGGCGGGAGTCTACCCTGCCATTGTATCGCCCAGCCATGTCCTAAACAGTGAAGAACTGAGCTGTGAAACTGACAGCTCAGTCCTGTATACTACAAAGGGAGATTGTGTCTCTCCTGTGTGTATCCAGTGGCGCTCCACTGTCTGTGGGACTTTCATCCTCTCTGTATTTGGAGCTCTGTATGCTGTTGATAAACAAAGGAGAGCACCTAGCTGGCCCAAAGCTCAGATGAGCACAGAGGGAGTCATGTGTTTTCCCCATGCAATCTACGGGACTGAGCTATCAGTTACAGCTCCGTTCATGCTCTGCATTCATTCATAAATGAAAGTTACTATTGAAGCTTTCATTCACGAATTACTGTTATGCGTGAATAAAAAAAAAAAACGTTTTACCCTTATGAACCCTTAGTGAACCCCAATTAGTTTTATTTTACATCTTCATTTCCTTAGTACTTTTTTCCTGATTTTTAATTGCTTGAGTGTAAAGGTTTTCAAATGATTATTCATTCATTCTTGTATGGAGCACTACATTTACAGTATAAAAAATTCTTTGTACCAAAAACCAAGACAAATTGTAGAATAATATTTGCATATTCAGGTTTTAACCCAAAATTTGTAGTTTAAATCTTAGTTAACCCTTATTTTTAACTCCTCTATTCCCTTCCCTTAGCTTTTTCCATGGATTTAAATTTGTGTTACTTTTTTAGTGCTGTATTAAACAGCTTGATGGGGAGGCATTTTGGCATCCTTGCCTTGGGTGCCATAGGATTTTGTTTCAGCACTTTTTTAAACAGTATGAAAAAAAGCAGAAACTTGACCTTTGATGGTGCTGAAGGCCAGATGCTGGTACAGACACAACTGCAGGAAGGAGAAGATTTGCTCCAGAGAAACTCCTGTGGTTAGAGCCTCAAGATGAACCACAAGTAAAGTACGTCTTTCACATCGTGATAGAAAATGAGGGAAGAAACATTCCTAGCCTTTAGCTAGAATCACAGATTCCGAGATGCCCGTCCCTTGGAAACTGGGTTTCAACAGCCATATTGTTAAAGGATATCTTACCCCAATATTTCTGATGTATCCGTTGTACCATTTACTGGTGTTAAAAAGTATCCTGTTCTCTGTGTATTTCTTCCTTTGTGTGAAATACTGTGTGGTCATGCCAGTAGCTCTGCTCTCTTATTTCAAACTGACCACACTATGCATAACAGCACATTAGTTTCTGCATGGTCAGGTTTCTAGCTGCTCTGAGAGGACAGCCTGCCTGTCTTCCAATAATCAGACTTGTACTGAAACCCCCCCCCCGCACAGCCATTCACTGTGAAGATTAGTATCTTGCAGTTTCTCCATTCCAACCTCTCTTAAGAGATTATGTGAAAGACAAAAATGTATTTATAATTTTTTTATATATATATATGTATACAAAAATGTTTTTCCTTGCATTTGTTTTAAACTGAATGGTTTGTTTTACAAGGTCACGGTTCACATATACTTTAAAGCCAGAGACCGAGAAGTAGGATGGCATATTAATCCTTCGGGACAATATACCCAGACAGTCAAGTAGGGCCCATGGTTTGTCTGTTGAAGGTTTAGCAGGTCGGCATACCACATGCAGTTTTGCCCAGAACTAGATCCACTCTACCTCTCCTGCCAGAATGAGACTTCTGGTTCCAGGTTTGAGGGGAGAAAGTGGCCTGGGGGCAAGGGAACAAACTTTTTTGAAGCCCTACCTCCTGGACCCAAGCATTTGTACTGCAATATGCCAAAGCGCCTGTAAAAGGTCAACAGACTACTGCACATTCTGAAAAGTGGGAACGCATCTACATGTCAAGGAAGGCTTGTCTGAGGATTTGGCAGACTTGGAGTGCCATACTTTGTGGTTGGATGGGGAGCTAAACTTGAAAGATCTCATTGCTGAAGTTGAGGAAGTGGAGGAACGCTTTCCGATGACTAGAGTGGGAGTTGGCTCCTTAGGTTCTGTTACGCTGGGGAAGATGAGTGCTCTTTACCACCTGTAACATCCTTAAAGTGGATCTACACTGTATCTGAGCACCGCAAAAACTATTGAAGTCATTTTTAGTATTCAAAGCAAACTCAGCAGTCCAACCAGGTCTCCGTGCTTAATTTTGCTGAGAAATCGCTTAGGCCTAGGCCTGGAAACCAGGAAGCAGAAATTAAAAAAAAAAAAAAAAAAAGAATTTAAAACAAGTAAATACAGTCAGGTCCATAAATATTGGGACATCGACACAATTCTAACATTTGTGGCTCTATACACCACCACAATGGATTTGAAATGAAACGAACAAGATGTGCTTTAACTGCAGACTCTCAGCTTTAATTTGAGGGTATTTACATCCAAATCAGGTGAACGGTGTAGGAATTACAACAGTTTGCATATGTGCCTCCCACTTGTTAACGGACCAAAAGTAATGGGACAGAATAATAATCATAAATCAAACTTTCACTTTTTAATACTTGGTTGCAAATCCTTTGCAGTCAATCACAGCCTGAAGTCTGGAACGCATAGACATCACCAGACGCTGGGTTTCATCCCTGGTGGTGCTCTGCCAGGCCTCTACTGTAGCTGTCTTCAGTTCCTGCTTGTTCTTGGGGCATTTTCCCTTCAGTTTTGTCTTCAGCAAGTGAAATGCATGCTCAATCGGATTCAGGTCAGGTGATTGACTTGGCCATTGCATAAAATTCCACTTCTTTCCCTTAAAAAACTCTGGTTGCTTTTGCAATATGCTTTGGGTCATTGTCCATCTGCACTGTGAAGCGGCGTCCAATGAGTTGTGAAGCATTTGGCTGAATATGAGCAGATAATATTGCCCAAAACACTTCAGAATTCATCCTGCTGCTTTTGTCAGCAGTCACATCATCAATAAATACAAGAGAACCAGTTCCATTGGCAGCCATACATGCCCACGCCATTACACTACCACCACGCTTCACTGATGAGGTGGTATGCTTAGGATCATGAGCAGTTCCTTTCCTTCTCCATACTCTTCCCATCACTCTGGTACAAGTTGATCTTGGTCTCATCTGTCCATAGGATGTTGTTCCAGAACTGTGAAGGCTTTTTTAGATGTCATTTGGCAAACTCTAATCTGGCCTTCCTGTTTTTGAGGCTCACCAATGGTTTACATCTTGTGGTGAACCCTCTGTATTCACTCTGGTGAAGTCTTCTCTTGATTGTTGACTTTGACACACATACACCTACCTCCTGGAGAGTGTTCTTGATCTGGCCAA